TAGAGGGTCGCTAGGGATTGGGATCGACTCGATGGCACTTAGCAACAACAACCTCTGTATAGATTTACAGCCTTAGAAATCCTATTGGGCTGTTGTACGATACCTTACCGGGTCTCTATGAGCCAGAATCTACTGGATGGAAACGGGGTAAGCATAGTACCAACAGTACAGTACCATGTGCTCACCTCCTGGCCATCTTGCAGCAAAAGGACAGCTGTCTCTTACAAATGAGGAAAGTGAGAATCAATGACTTCATCAGCTTGCCCAAGGTCATGATGCTAGAAAGTGGCAAGGCTGGGGTTTGTCATGTTTACCAGGATTAAGTGACGGTGAGTCACAGAAATCCGCATCATCCCCCCCCACCACAGGTGTATATGCGCGATGCCCCCACAGTGGGCAGCTTCGGCAGGGAGGGAAGGCTGCTGGCTGCGTGAGCTGCAATCATAAGGACAGGCTGGCAGGAAGCCACACCCCGGAAGTGAAGGAGGAAGCCCTGACTGTAAATGGAAGAAAAAAGTTACCACCACCACCACCCCCAGATTCAATTTCAAGACTGCCTTCAGTCTGCTTTATCATAGGGGTCGAAATCCTGACATATAAAATTGCAAGAGGAATATTTTTACAGTTCTGGGCAAAGGGAAACCTGTCCCCTCAGCCTCTGTTGATTCAGGACCCCCTAAGTAAAAACATCATAAATGACAAAAAATTCATCCACATGCACAATAAAAAGAAAAGCAACCCTGGGGGACATGTGAAGAGCCCTGGTGGCGCAGTGGTTAAGTGCTTGGCTGCTAACTAAACAGTCGCTGGTTTGAACAAAGGGAGAAAGACGTGGCTGTCTGCTTCTGTAAAGATTTACAGCCTCCAGAACCTTGTGGGGCTGTTCTGCTCTGTCCTCAAGGATTTTTATGGGTCGGGGATTCCACTCGGTGGCAATGAGTTTGGTTTGGGTTTTGGAGGATTGGGGAATTTGACTAGGTTCTTGCTATTTCTAGGACTAGACGTCTACACTTGGCTTGTCCTCCTCTTCCTTTTGTAAAGCTATGAATTTGAAGTCAGGATTCATTTTTTTTTATTTTCACAGAAAGCACTGTATCCAAATAAAAAGCAGAATGTAGTTACCTTTCCAGTGTTCTGTTGGTCTGCTTCTCTATGACAGGAGGGGAAAGGAGACTCGGGAGAGAATTGTTTTTTAATTTTTATAATGCACACCAATCTATTCCTCCTCCCCTTCTGGTAAAGAAATATTTAAACTGTATGCATTCTTGGAAAGAATTTTCAAAAAACACTCAGCCCACAAGAATTCTGTTCATCCCGCAAAAGCTGCCTAGGTCCTGCGTGCATTTGCTGGGGCTGGCTCCTCCACACGCAGCCCATCAGCATTTTCTTCGCCTGCCTTTACTACCAGGAGGTCAGGGTTACACAACTGCCTCATCTATGGCACTCCATGCCAGGGCCCCTCCTAAACAGAAGCTCCCTTCTGAAGTCTGTGTAAAAGGAACAACCCACACAAAAAACCCCAGAGGTACACAGTTAGTTGGACTTAAGCTCTCCACAGACCTCCATTTCCCCCCCAAAACAAGCCCACTGCCTTCGAGTCAATTCTGACATATTAAAACTGTTTCACGGGGTTTCCTAAACTATAACTCTTTATGGAAACAGATTGCCTCATCTTTTTCCTATAGAATGAGAGTGGTGGGTTTGAACCACCAGCTCTTTTTAGCTAGCAGCCCTAATAGTAACCCCCAGTGCTCTGTAACTTCTGTTAGGTTTACCTGATTTAGGTAAACCTCTAGGTTGAGTTTATTGTTGTTGTCGTTGAATTCCTTTATTAGAATTATGGCCCAGTAGTTTTTTATTTTTAGATTGTTGCTGTTAGTTTAATTTACTTATTATAATAACCACTGTCCAGTAGGTGTAAAAGGAGCTCTGGTAGCATAGTGGTTACGAATCGGGCTGCGAACCTCAAGGTCAGCAGTTCGAAACTACCAGCTGTTCCACGGGAGAAAGATGAGGCTTTCTGCTCCTGTAAAGATTTACAGCCTCGGAAACCCTGTGCAGGGTCGCTATGGGTCGGAACTGACTCCACAGCACATCACAACAATAACAGTAGTTGTAAATCCCTCGTTGGTGCTAACAGTTTGCCCTCAACTCTACTAAGCTAAAGAGTGTTGGTTTAAACGCTCCCAGCTGTGTCTTGGAAGAAAAGCCTGGAGACATACTTCTGTAAAGATCATTGTTGTTGTTGTTTGGTGCCTTCAAGTTGGTGCCGAGGCTGTATAGGGTTTCTGAGACTGTAAATCTTTGTGGGAACAAAAAGCCTCCTGCCAATCAGCTGGTGGGTTGGAACAGCCGACCTTGTGGTTAGCAGTCCAGTGCTTATCCTACAGAGCCACTGTGTTCCTCTGTAAAGACAGTTGTAAAGTTAAGTGCTGTCGAGTTGATCTCGGCTCATAGTGACCCTATATAGGAGTCCTATGAGGAGCAGCTGGTGAGTTTGAAGCATCGACCTTGCAGTTCATATTGACCTTATGGTTGAGTACATATTTTATAGCATCACACCAGGACACTAGGGTACCAGCCTCATGGAGCAGTTCTACTCTGTAACACACGGGGTTGCCATGGGTCAGAATGGGTTCGGTTTGGGGGCTTTTGTTATCTAGTATTTATTACAATGGCTTACTCTCTCTATATGGGGACACTGGGGCTCAGTAGTGCAATTCTCACTTTACCTGAGGGACATCCTGCTTTGATTGTTGGTCAATGCCACCACCCATCTGAATAAGTTTCAGCACAGCTTCCAGATTAGACACATCAAGATATATCTGGAAGAAAGACCTGGCAACCTACTTCTGAAAATCCAGACAGCGAAAACCCAGCGGTCTGATCCCCATTGTACGTGTGGGGTCGCCATGAGTTGGGGGCTGATAAAAGCAGTAACAATGATCTATATGGCATTGGTTTTGAAAACCAGATTAACTGTGGGACAATGTAAAAATCATTTTAGAGTGCTCACCATTGAGAGCCAGGTGAGGTGAAATTGTACATTTTCTCCTGGGGGGTGGGGATGGTGAGGGCGGGGGACACAGGAACCATCTGGGTGTGGGACGGGAACCTTCACAATCACTGTCTCACCTTCATCTCAGCTGGAAGTACAGTGTGACCGACTCCCTGCTCCCATTCCAAGTGGTAAATGTTTTGTTAATGTCAGGTCATTTCTATTCTTAACCTTGGAGCTTAATATTAGGTTTTCCGTATGGCGTGAAATTCTGGCAAGCCCATCTCCATGAAGGAAGGAGCTGCTTTTTCTAACACAGAAAAATGCAGGAGGGATATTTCCAGCTAGCGAGAAGCATCAGGCCTCATTGAGAAGCATCGTTGTTGGTCTTTACACCATGTTTCTTGACTCTGGAAATGGACCACTGGACTCTGTCAGGGTAAAGAGAAATCGGGTCACTGGATGGACAAGTGTAGAATTGTTCCAAGAAGTTGTACTGTTTGAGGGTGTTTGAAAATACCAGTTGAAATCCCTTTTTGTGCATATCTTTAGGTTCGTTCAGTCCTAGACATATTACCAGGAGGGACCAGTCCCTAGAGAAGGCTATCATGCTTGGTAAAGCGGAGGGCCAGCAAAAAAGAGAAAGACCCTCAATGAGATGCAACAATGGGCTGAAATATGATAACAATTGTAAGGCCAACACAGGACTGGGCAGTGTTTTGTTCTGTTGTGCATAGTTGGGTCACTATGAGTCGGAACCAACTCAATGGCATCTAACAATAATAGTTGTTGTTGTTGTTGTTATGTGCCATGGAGTTAGTTCTGACTCATAGCGACCCTGTACAGGGTTTCCGAGGCTGTAAATCTTTACGGGAGCAGAAAGCCTCATCTTTCTCCCACGGAACAGCAGGTAGTTTCGAACTGCTGACCTTAAGGTTCGCAGCCGGATTCGTAACCACTACGCTACCAGAGCTCCTTAACAGTGATGGTACTGAAGAAAAAATACCTGTATTCCTAGATTTCATTTTAATTTTGCTAAGGGAAATGGCAAAAGTCTTTTTGCTGGAACATTTTGTGTTTGGGGATTGCTATCTCCCTCCCACACAAAAATGCAATTCAGCTAACAAAGGTGCCAGTGCTGGGCAGTTCAAAGGATAAACTTGGTCCTAACCCGCAGGGTGCTCACTGACCAGCAGGAGAAACAGGCTCAGAAACAAGACAACTAAATATAACTAGGGGAAAACAGTATAATCCAATCGCTATATAAAGAAACAATGAATTCTGCCTGGAGAGGAACAGTGGGGCCTGAGACGTCTCTTAACAGATTTACTAGGAAAAGCCATCGCAGAAGTTATTTGACATGGAGGAAACAGCACATGTTAACATTACAGAGGTGAATATTCGTATCTGGTAAGTAGGGTATAATCCAGGCAGGTAGATGAATATTCTTATCTGGTAACTAGCGTATAATCCAGGCAGGTAGAGTCTAGTGGGGGTGGGTAGGAGGGAGGAGCTATGAAGAGAGTAAGACTGGAAAGAGAAGTTAATAAGGTTTATTAGGAGTCCTGGTGTGGTGTTGTAGGATAAGTACTGGTCCCAAGGTCATTTGAATTGCAAGGTCGGTGGTTCAAACTCACCAGCCACTCCTCGGAAACCCTATACAGGGTTGCTATGAGTCGGAACTGACTTGACGTCACTTAACAACAAATAACAATGATGTTAGGTACTGCATTCTCTGAGAAAGTAGTTGTTAGGTAAATCAAATGTTCATTTGGATTTATTAAAGCAATGACTGATATCTTTGACTTGCGTGTTGGGCCTAGGGAAGGAAGCATGTAGAAGGGTTATGAGCACCTGGGAGAAAGTCTTCATACTTGGTGACAGGTGTTTGATGAACACTTGGAGACGTAGATCACTTATTTCATGTTCCTCGCGATTTGGATTGAGCAAGTAGCCAAAACAAATCGTATATCTAAGATGAAGCAACACTTTTGTTCTGCAGGCTTGTCTGAGACGACAGGAACACAGAAGAGATCCAACTGAGAAAAAGCGAGACCAATTTTGGGGGCAAGAGACAAGTTTAGAGAGATCACGGTTTTCAAGCGGGTCATCTTCCAGACAGGTATATGAAACTCTAGGAGGCATTCTCTTGCTGTCGTGTGTATGTGTGTGTGTGTGTGTGTGTTCCTTACTTAGGAAAGAATGGACTCAAAAATGGAATGTTAAAAAACGCTTAAGATCAAAGCAGGGTGAGGCAGGGCCGGGAGCTTCCATCCTGACTCTTCCCCACCTGTGTGGGCTTCCCACCTCAGCTTTGTTGCACCTCACTTTTCTTGCCAGTGGATAAAGGATCTGAGGAGGTAAGTGGTCTCTGAGACACTGTCTCTGGGGATTTAAGAGTCCATGGCACTGGGTCTTCTAAAGTACAGTGTTAGCAGTATTATGGGTTAGCTGTGGTCTAACCCATTGCATTGCAGAGTCTAATTGTTCATTTCAAATGGGGAGAGTAAAATGCACATAGTTCATTATTTAATAACTGGAAATTGTTTCAATATTTTTGTCTAGGATGATGGTAATAGGATGATTATGACGATAATAAAAGCAGTTGCCTGTAGTTTAGTGCCTATACTGTTCTGGTGGTGGTGGTGGTAAGTGCCAATGAGTCACTTCTGACTCTAGTTGGCTCTGCACAGGATTTCCAAGGAGCAGCCAGTGGGTTTGAACTGCCAAACTTGTGGTTGGCAATCCACTGCTTATCCTACAGTGCCATACCAGGAGCCCATATACTGTTCTAGACACTGTTTAAGAAGCTCTGGTAGGGTTATGAGTTATGAGTCAGGCTTCTAACTGCAAGTTAGTAGTTCAAAACTACCAGCTGCTCCATGGGAGAAAGATGAGGCTTTCTGCTCCAGTAAAGATTTATAGCCTCAGAAATCCTATATAGAGTCGCTATGAGTTAGAACCGACTCCACGGCACATCACCACCTCCACCACCACCATATCTATAAATTTACTGTTTATACATATTAACTTTCTAACTACGTTGCTGTTAAATGCCATTGAATGGGTTCCAACTCATGGAGTCCCTGTATTGGGTTTCCAAGGAGCGACTGGTGAGTTTGAACTGCTGACCTTGGGATCCAGTGCTTTATCCCACATATGCATATGTTGTTGTTAAGTGCCGTTGAGTCAGTTCCAAACCATAGTGACCCTGTATAGGGTTTCCGAGGAGTGGCTGGTAAGCTTGAACTGCCGACCTTGTGGTTCAAGCCGACTTTGCAGTCCTACACATTAACCCACAGCGCCACATCAGTACAATACGTGTGTGTGTGTATGCCTAATTTTTACAGATGCGAAAATTCAGCCTCAGAGAACTTAAAAGATGTGACCTAAAATTTGACAGTCAGTACATGATGACACGGGGTTTCTAATCTAGGTAGTGTGACCCCAGAAATGGTGTTTTGAGCTGCTGAGCTATCCCATCATGTTTTATATTTAAGATCGTATCTGTGTACGAATTTTACTTATCCCATGGATGAGCTAAAAACCACGAGCTGCAATCGACACTGGCTGTTAGTATGGTGAATTGATTTAAGATGAGTAATCTGCCTTTTATGAATTCTTAGTTAACACTGTATGCCTGAAATGTACTCTAGAGGATGGACTGTCTCTTTCCTATCAGGGGCGTGGGTCCTCGCCCGCGATGGATTCTTGGATTCCTGATATAAATCAAGTTCTTGTTGAGATTTCTTCTTTAATCTAGGATGCTCACATTGTGGTTATTTAATGTTCAAAAGACACCTTAAAAACAGCAGTGATTGATGTTTATGGGTGTAGATGTATTCCTGAGAGAGAGATATACACTCCCTATTAAGGAAAATAAAATCACACAATAAAATAGTCCACCTCAAGTCTGAAGGTGAAACAGGGGCTAGCTCATAGGATTGGCAGCACTCAGAAGAAAGTGTTGCCTGAACCTTTTCCTGTTAGTCAAGGACGAAATTTAATACTTACTGTTGATTAAATTTCGGGGGTGAGCTTAGTCCAAAAATTAAATCTAGTCTGGCTAGCGCAACCCATTTTTAACATTCAGATAAATTCTCATAGTTTTGCACTTAGAAACAAAATTCAAGGACAGATAAAAAATGTAATAATTGAAGTCAAAACAGTAGCATGTAGCAGTCTTCCTAAATTGGAATGACTAAACAAATGGACAGCTGGGTTCTTCTATTTTCATGCAAAGACTCATGTGCAAAGTCACGGACATTTTGCATGGTAATCCTCATGCCTTTCAGATATTCTTGAACTTGAACTTTTATGCTTCTCTCCACAAACTTTGTTTAGGGAACAAGCTGGTGGCAGGTTCCTATAGTTTTCTTCTCCATGCTATGAAGGCTATTCATTTTTTAAATTATCACCGCAAAGCCTTCACACCACCTCCAAAATAACAGGACATTGTTGTACATTGAAAGGAAATTATGAAATAGCTTCCAGAATCACAGGCAATCATAGACAGACTACATGGATCCTATTTTCCAACTCATAATTTAATGATTCACAAACATCCAACACTAACAAAAGATAATATGTTATAAAATGCAAAAAAAAAAAAAAAATTGGCAATTTCTAAAATACAAGGATGGAACTTTTTTTTGATGTTTGCACTATGTCACCATAGCTCAGTGTGTCAGAGAACTCAAAGCAACATTTCTTATATAATCTCAATTTTCCCAGATAATGGTATCCCAAGGGTTCAGGTGGTGACTGTAGAAGTGCCTTCAAGGCCACATCGTCTCTCTCTTAGAAGAGTGACAGAATCACAATTTTCCACAGTGAAACTGACCCACACTGTGTTCTCTGAGTGGTAGATTCTTGGGGGAATCCTGAAAGATTTGCCTCTGGAAAGAGAAGCACAGGAAGGGCAGGGTGAGAGGAATGTCACTAAATGCATCACTCTTCCCAGGATGCATCTGACTTGCTGGGCTTATAATGCCAGCCCTCCTGGCTCAATCTTACAGTGTTTGCTGGGTACAAATGACGTCAGAGATCTCTTAGAGGTTCCAGTCAGATCCAGGAAACCTTCAACTCCTAGGATCATGGGTCAGTTTGGAGGTTCCCCTCCCAAATTCTGTGAAAATCCAACTGTCTTAAATTGCCAGCATCTGGGCCTGCCCTGCTACATACATCTCAAACCTGGCAGAACTAATCAATTCTCTTTCCACAGGGGTCTCAGGGCGAGCACGATCCTAGAGCTACTCTCCCAGAAGAGGCTATGAATGAGAATGCTAGCACCTCCCAAAGGAGGACCCAGGCTAGGCTGATAAGGAACCCATTTTCAGAACTCAATGATATTGTTGTTGTTAAGTGCAGTCAAGTCAGTTCTGACCCATAGCGACTCTGTATAGAGTTTCCTAGGCGCAGTTGGTGAGCTTGAACCACCAGACTTGCAGTTCCGACGGCTTTGCAGTCTGGCACATGAACCCACAATGCCACAATAGGACTCAATGTAGTGGATGTTATATCAGACACTAGAGTAGCAAAACATCCTTAGTCCAAATAGACATATGCATGCCCATATTTATTGTACCATTATTCACAATAGCAAAAAGATGGAAACAATCTATGTGTCTGTCCATCAGTGGATCAATGGATAATTATGTCGCAAACATGCATCAATAAACAATAATGATAAATCTCACATCTTGGATGAATCTGGAGGGCATTATGCTGAGTGAAATAATTCAATCACAAAATGACAACTATGGTATGAGGCTACTATTATAAAGAGTCTAGAATATTGTTGTGTGCCGTCAAATCGGTTCTGACTCAAAGGGACTCTATATGGTTTCCAAGAACTGCGGGTGGGTTTGAACTTGCATTGAAAAGTTCACTGACCTATCCTGCAGCAGCGCCACAGCAGGGCTCAATGAATCAAGAATAGGTTTACAGAAAGAAGGTTATCAGAGATGGGAGTGAGGAGGGGAAGAAATCACTAAACAGATAGTACACAAGTGTTAATTTTGGTGAAGGAAAAGACAATACACAATATGGGGGAAGTCAGCAAAATGTAAATAAGGCAAAGGAACACCTGAGAAGGATGCAAGAATGAAGGGCAGTTTGGGTAAGCGCTATAACATATACAGTCTTTCAGCAACAGTAGGAGTTGTTGTTGTTGTTGTTAGGTGCCATCGAGTCGGTACTGACCCATAGCGATATTTATATGTATGTATAAAACATACAACAATATATATGTATCTATAAAACATAAAACAATATGTATGTGTATATAATGTATGTATAAAACATAACAATATATGTGTGTATAAAACATATAAATGTATGTATATAACACACATATATGTTTTTGTTAGGTGCTGTCAAGTCTGTTCCGACTCATAGCAACCCTATGCAGAACAGAATGAAACACTGCAGATCCTGTACCACCCTTGTAATTGTTGTCACGCTTGAGCCCATCCCTGCTGCCATTATGCCAATTCATCTCATTGGGGGTCTTCCTCTTGTTCTCTGACCCTACGCTTCACTAACCATCATGATGTTCTCTGGGAACATATCTGAAGTATGAGACACAAAGTCTCGCCATCCTGGCTTATAAGAAGCCTGCTGGCTGTACTTCCTCCATACAGATCTGTTGGTTCTTTTGGCAGCCCATGATACCTTCAATATTCTTCTCCAACACTACAACTCAAATGCACCAATTCTTTTACAGTCTTGCTTATTCATTGTCCTTCTTGCACATAGCTATGAGGCTACTGAAAATACCATGGCTTGGGTCAGGCACACCTTAGTCCCCAAACTTGGTATCTTTGCTCTTCATCACTTTAAAGAGGTCTTGTGCAGCAGATTTATCTAATGCAGTACGTCCTTTGATTTCTTGACTGCTACTTCCATAAGTGTTGATGATGGATCCAAGCAAAATGAAGTCTTTGACAACATTAATATTTTCTCCATTTATCATGATGTTATTTATTGCCCCAATGGTGAGAATTTTTATTTTCTTTACATTGAGGTGCGACCCATACTGAAGGCCATGGTCTTTGATCTTCATCAGTGAATATTTTCAGTCCTCTTCATTTTCAGCAAGCAAGGCTGGGTCATCTGAGT